TAAGCTGCCGCGTCAGGCGTTTAAGGAGACGTTAATTAGAACGAAGTGACGAAGAGACGAAGAGCGAGCTCGCGTTGCAGACACCGGCCGACGTCGTCTCTTATCTTCTGCCTCGGGGGAGCCAGCCGTTTTGCTTTCACCTCGTGTATCGATCGGCCGCGGATCCACTCGTAATTGCCCCGAGAGCCACGAACACGCGACAATCGTAAACTACTCGTCGGTTTTACGACGCGGTTGAAACAACCGAACCGGAGAGAGGGAGATAGGGAAGAATAATCTCTTGGAGCACGCAAAGTCGTTGCTGAAAAAATTTGCGACAATTTGTAAATTTCATAAAATCTCCGAATCACAGCGTGTTTTCTTCTCTGCGATTAAATGTCACGTTTTTTTTTAGAGACGTGATGAAAGTTCTCATCTCCCTTGAGGCGAAACGCGAACTCATAGGCCAGAGTCGATTGATTAACGCCGAATTCAATGTCGAAAGTGATGATATCGTTTGATTAAATCGAGCGATTTAAAAAAGAAAAGGTATTGAAACGGACGTAAGACGCAGCGAGAAGGCAAAACGCTCGGCCGCGCTTTTGCTCGTCGCTTTAACGTGTCGCCTTTACGTGAGCCACATATTGCGTTACCGATCAAGGATAACGAGCTCGTATCTCGGTAGCCTATCCGAGGAGACAGAGAGACGAGGCATTGGAATTATCGTCTCTTCCTCTTTTCCTCTCTCGCTCCCGTCTACGAAAGAATCGTACGGCACGAATGATTTCAGTCTGACGGACTCGGGAGAGACCAAGTTGACTACTGGAAAATCGAATGTCTCGAGCAAATTCGAAGGAGATGTAAGAGCGACACGGCGTGGAGAAGGCCACGCGAAGAGACACACGAAGAGAGAAACGTCTCCTCTCGGTCCCTTCGAGAATATAAACAGACGAAAATAGAGTGGAAGGAAGCTCGCGAGAGCCGCGAGAAGACCTCGCTACCAAATCCCGAAATAGTCGAATAATTCCCGAGGTTTTTCAGCCCTGGTATATATATCGAGATGCCCTATAACCTCGATATATACGCCAAAAATATTTCAATGGCACCTGAGATCGTTTCAGACCAGAATAATGTTCAGTCGGTGACGCGAGAGATGATACTACTCTCCGGCGACCTCGGAGCTTCTCCAGCTCTCGAGATGAGGACTGTTTAGGAGCTGAGGATCATCCTGTACTTTCAAAAGTTCCGTCTCGCTCGATCAATGTTAGCTTGAAACGTCGTTTAACGCCGGTTAGTTCGACGATTCATATGTACATAAACTTCTTCTTTTTGCATCATTTGCACGATGCGGCTAACAACCAAAAAAAAAGCTGCAACATCGGTGTGTACACGTCACGCGTTACCGCGAGCTACGTTTCAACGGCATGGCAGTATCGCAGTTGATAAGCAATTGATCCGGATCGAAGGATCACGCGACGATCTTTTTGGAGACTCGATGACACCGACATAACGCGTGCGTGTACGGGCATACAAGGGACAAGATTGCTCGGTGACCCGCGGCGCAGAGGCGAATGACTCGGAATTGACGCGCTTTCCAATCGCCAACTGAAAAAAAAAAAAAAAAAAACAAAAAGAAAAAGAGAAAAACGTTCTCTCTCCCCCGTAAACAACTACAAACACGCGTGAACATTTTTCGAACATCCAGAGGAATATCTTATATACGAGTATGCGTAATGCAATGATCAATACCTCGGCAATTACTGAAATATTTTCGCGAACTAATTCTGAAATTCCAACACGTGAAAGAGAGAGAGAGAGAGAGAGAGAGAGAGAGAGAGAGAGAGAGAGAGAGAGAGAGAGAGAGGCTAGACAAACTCTCGGAGGAGGAGGAGGATCGAAGCGACGCAACAACGTGCTTCCCTCCCGGAAACCGGTGTTTTTCAATGATAACGGGGAAGAGAACGTAACAACCGCGGTGCTGGTCGCCTGGCGAGATATCCAGCGATCGTGGCTACAAGTGTCGGTAAATAAATAAATAAATAAAGTAGCATATTTTAAGGGGAACTCTCGAACGACGGGAGAGCCAGAGAGCTGATGGCACGGCCACTCGGACCCGGAATGGACGAGAGAGAAGCGTGGCGCCGAGGAACGTGGTGTGGGCAAGCGGAAAGCCGGACGACGAGGTCGCCAGCCGAGTCGAGCCGAGCCGAGCCGAGCCGAGTACGCTCTAGCCATCAGACGCATGCGATTTCGTGGCGGCGGCAGTCTAGCACGAGCCGCCGCTCAGGAGACACCCGTAGGAGACTTGCTTGTTTCAAGGTAGGCACCTGACGCTTGACGATATCTCTCTCTTTCTCTTTCTCTCTTCTTTTTCTCTCCTTTTGTTAATCTCCCTGCAGTAACCACCAACCGCCGCTTCCTCTTTTGCCGATTGCCCCGAAACTCTCCGAGCAGACTACTCCCCATCGAACAAGACTGTTTCTCGCTTTCCCCTTTTCTCGAACGTGATTCCTCGAGCCACGAAGGTTCATCGTCACGACGAATCGTAGAATAAACGAGGGATAAACAACGGATTACGATCGATAAGTTCGGGGCTCGGAGCTATCTCTGCTCGCAACCTTCCTCGAATTTATGGTATTTCGAGGGCGACCAGCGCGCCTGGCGTTTGCCCGATACCGTTGCAGCCAAGCTGTGGTGGCTCCGCTCGTTTTGCTCGTTTCTTTTCTTTTTTTTTTTTNTTTTTTCTTTTTCTTTCATAATCTCTCGCTGGATTTTTGTTCGTTTCGATCCGCGGTCCAGTCTCGGCCTCTCAGGTGAAAAGGTCTCGATTTTCAAGGAATCGAGAGAGTTATATATCGAGCGATGGAAAGGGCAATCTGTGCCACGAACTTTGGGCTGCTTTTAGAAACGCGTGCACGCGTGCGTCGAATTCTCATCTGCATTAATTTGGATCGGTTGATGGCGAAACGGGGAAGGGCTCGCCAAGATTCTGGTCGGAAATGATTTGAAACAAATGCTTAGACCTACGTCTCTCTCCCTCCCTCTCTCTCTCTCTCTCTCTCTCTCTCTCTCTCTCTTTCTTTCTTTCTAAAAACGGGAGGATCGTTTTGTTTTTTAAACTTAAAAGAGTTTGGAGGTTCTGTTCGAATCTCTAAAAATTCTTGCCGACGCAGGTGTCGGTGTGCACGTGGGTTGCATACACACGTTGTGCCTAACCACTCAATTAGCAACGCGTACAACGATGCTTTAATTGATTGAAAAATGAGAGATATCGATAGAAGCAATTAGCCATCTAATTAGTTTGAAGCGGTGTAGAAGGCGGTGAGCACCGAGTGTCAAGCGTTTCAATACCGTTACTAGAAAGTAGCGTCGTTTGCTTGCAAGTAGCGAATGAACGGGGGGAAAAAGAAAAAAGAAAAAAAAAAGGAAAAAGGAAAAAAAGAATTGGTCCAGTGAAAGTGTCGCAGTAGCGTATCGGATTCGGTTGTATTTGCCTTTATGTAACCGAACGTGTGAACGACTCGCGGTGGCTGCGCCTTTTGCATATTGTTCAAGTTTCGGTGTCGCGTCGCGTGTGCATTACGCGGATTTCTAAGTCCGCGTGGTTCCGCTTCTATGAACTGAATTCGAAATACACTCGGAATTTTTATGAACACGCGACCGCGACGCAGTAACGAGCAACGAATTGGATCTCAATGTTAACATCATCCAATCGGTATCGATGTAATTATTTCTATTTCCAGTCCAACGACATCTTTTTGCTCTATTCCCCCGTAAATCGGTCTAGGTCGAACTACGACGAGCAATTTTCACTTTCGACGTGTTCATCTTTCTTTGTCCACCAAGCAGTTATGTTTCTTTTTTTTTTTTTTGCGATAAATTCGCGACATCGCGTCTCATATAATTGCACACTTTTTCTTCGTATGATCGTTGAAGTATTTATTTTCGCATGTTGTGCGTTAGAGTGCTTCCTCTTGTACGCGTGTGTGCACACACAGATGGCTATCTGTGGCGGCTCGCGAAATTGCATTACGGTACACGAGGCGTTAGTTAATTAACAAGAGGTCGCGCGAAACCTCGTTGCTCGCGCGGTCCGTTCCTCCGACGAATGTTTTCGCAATTACGCTCGCACATCGATGCCACCTTTCTGTCATTCTCGCAACAGATCCCCGATACTTGCCGTTGTTTGTCCACGGAATAGAAATCGATGGCAACAAGCGTGTATTAGTGCGAGAAAAACATGCGAGAAAAAATAATCGCACGACATTGCGCGACGTATCACCGGCTATAGAAATCACTTTATCGTCCATCTATTATAATTCCACGAGTTTTACTGGATCGAATTTGAGCTAGCTTCGTTTTCTGCTCTTTACAATATAGAAAAAAAAAGAAAAAAGGATTACGATTCGATTTATAAAGGAATCACTCTTGGAATTCTTTTTGCGGAACCGAAAGATAATAGAATTAGTTAGATAATGAATTAAAATTATTTTTTTTTTTTTTTTTTGACTTAAAGTCAATGACGTTAATAGAAACTTGAAAATAATGACAATTCATAAAAAAAAGAAAAAAAGAAGAAACAAATGCGTGTAAAAGTATAGCGTGTCGTGCGATAAAGAATCATTAAAACGGGGCACGTTTTGAACACGTTTCTGAGTTTTCTCCGATTGATATATCGTGATATATAAGATCACGAAGGAGAGACGAGCACGTGTCTCCTGTATACAAACACCCGTTGTGCTGAACTTGAGTTTTTCACCAATAGATCGAAACGTCGCAGAAAATTATTTTTATTTTGACATTTAAAAATCGCGAAACGAAAAAATACAAGGCTTTCTTTCTTTTTCTTTTAATCACAAGTATAATGAAATTTAGAAAACTATATGTTGGACAAAAATAGCTAACGTATTCGTTTGTTCATAAACCCCGTGTAGCAAATGGAAAAAGTGTTCTTTTCTTTAAAAAAAAAAAAAAAAAAAAAAAAAACGAAATGAAAAGCAATGTAAGAAAAGAAGTGTTCTTTATAGTCACGGCAATATTCAGATTCATGAAAGAATGAAAAAATTTATTAATGAATAATTTTTGAACTCGGAATGATATTTCGGACGGACAATAGTAAAACAATGCAGGGAAAAAGCGTCGGCGCGTTCTGTCACGAAACTTTGTGGGGATAGCAGCAACAGTTTTTAATTGTCGATAATTATATAGGAAAGTAATTTATATCTATTTGTCTATTAACATTTTCTTAACATAATTATAATACCCTTAGTAAAAAACGAAACCAGTATAAAAACGGAACCGTGTTTCAAGTGTAGTTAACCTCAAAATCATGATGTTAAAATCTTGTTTTTTCAGTTGATCACGAATACATCATTTCAAATTTACCCAATATCTAACAAAGATAATTTTTAATATTTATTCAATAATTTTATATAATTAAGTTTATTTGAATCTCTCCTCATAATATATTCTCCAACGATACTCCAATACACAACGCTGTATAACATAATATATAACCACTAATGAACTGCTATAATTTGTAATTTAGATATTATTAATTTAATGTATATACTAACTGATATATCAAACATTATAGTGAATGAACAAGAGAAGATGCCTGGCCACCGTCAGCCTAATTCCCTAGAAGGACTTAGTTTGGGACGTGTGTGTCAACAACTCGACGGGACGTGCCGCAGGCTGCAGGTGCTTTCACAAGAATCATCCGCTGCACAAGTGTTGGCATACGCGAAACAAACCATTAGACCTTATTACATAAATGCCTTGCCAGCACGTTTGAGGTCTCAAGTTATAGAAGAAACTTCAAAAATGTTGTATGGACCTGCATCAGATGGATCAACTCTAATTTCTGGCCCAGCTCCTTTATACTTATTGGCCCTTCTTCTCGGGCATGATATAAAGCAGTTGAAAGTGAATCTCTGTTGTTACTATGGATGCAGCCATCAGACATCGTTATTGAAGCTACTTGCATCAGAAGGAATTGGACTTGAATCTTTAGAGTTGGCTCGTTCAGCTTTGCTAAGATTGGACTGTAAATTATTAAGATGTGCTCTCTTAAACATGAAAAATTTGATGAGTTTAACTTTACGCAATATAGCCAGTGATGGGGTGCTTCAAGTGGTGGGAAAAGCTTGTCCAAAACTTGTGCACTTGGATGTTGCTTGTTCAAGGCAAGTAACAGATGTAGGATTGAAGCAATTACTGTTACAAGTAGAACTTAGGGATAAAATGCCCCATACTGCAATGCAAGAGCCTACTAGTTGGTCCCGTTTGAAAACATTGCTTTCAAAATTGAAAATGAGAAATTCTAAATCAGAGAAAAAGGAAAAGCAAGGGGTACTATTGGAATACTATGAAAGCAGAAACTTTCTCTGTGATACGCTCAGAGTACTTAACGTTGCAAACACTGGTGTGACCAGTGCAGGAGTACTTTTAGCTTTAGTTCATGTTCCACGGTTGGAATCTCTAGCTGAATATAGCCATATGGGAAGAGTAGTGGAAATTATGAACAAAGGACTTATTGGATTTAAAACGCCATTTAGCCTGACTCAGGCAAGAAGTTGCAGAACAACACCAGCTCGTTTAGAACTTTTGGCACAGGCATGCCCAAAGGTAGAGAAACTGTATATTTCAGAGCCTCATCATCCTCCCGAAGCTTTGAGATTATTCCCCTATGTTACTTCCTTAAGTGTACACAGTATACCACCTCAAAGAGAATGGTTGGATGGTTTTTACGATTATCTGCGTACTAACGGGCATAATTTACGCGAACTTAATCTCAGAATAACTCAAAGTGAAAATCCTATCCAAGTCGATTTGAAAGAAGTTTTATTAAATTGTTCCAATCTTAGAACATTTACTAATGACGGGTCAAACATAATTTGGACAGAGGGTACTGATCCTCCTCCACTGAAATATTTGAAAAGAATTCAATTAGGTCGTATAGTGAGTGCTGTTGCTATTACTAAACTTCTTTCATTAGCACCAGAATTAACAGCGTTACATGTTCATAGTTGTTTCGATCTCACTAATGAACACTTGGAGAAGTTATTAAGCGTATCAAACAAATATAGAAATCCAAGAAAGTCTGACAAATGTGAAAATAGTTTAGTACAAAACTTAACATGTTTCTACATATACGAGGCCAGTAAAGTATCTGCAACTACAGTGTTGAATATGTTTAAGAACTGTAAAAGACTTAGAAAAATTGGAAACTTGGCAAATTGGGGTTTGGATTGCGAAGGTGTAAGAATGTTAAGAACGACATTAACTCGCGCAAATTTAGACGTGGATTTATGTCCAGGAGCTCATTGGTTCTGTGGTAATTGCATTCAGTAACAGATCTTCTCGAACTTACTAATAAAAACAGCTTAAAAACCCTGCCCACGATACAATTGGCTGCTGTTTAAATCTGTTATACTTTCATAGACTGTAAAATTGTCAGTATTAAAAATAATCTTAATAAATATAAGACAATTAATACTTGGATAAAAGCAGATATTACGTTTATTATGTAATTGAACTAGTAACAGTTATTGGTCGTCTTTGCGTCTTGCAATAAATATATTTTCGCTTTGTTTAATGAATTCAGATTCGATTTTCTTATACGATTATATACTTCGTTAAGATTATAAATGCTAAAATAATATTCAATAATAACGTAACATTAAATAAAAAATTAATAATAATCACAAGCATTAAATAAAAAAAAAAGCTGTATTACTATCTCATGCTATAGCAAGTCACTTTACAGTAATAACATTAACAAATAAATCAAAATATATAACACGAAATACACGATTTCATATATTATAAAATACAACTCGAGTTAAAAAAAATTCCATTGAAGAGAATAATGCCAGTAAATAAGTGACATGATAAAACATACTAAAAAATATATATATATATATATGTATATATATGTATGTATAAGTATAAGTTGTATCATTACTTTTGAGTTGTACATTAATAAGTACTTAAAAATTTTGAAACGCAGAAGAAACAGACTCATTTGTATTATAACATTTATAACGAGCGATTCGATATAGTTCGAACTTGGTTCGCTGCAATAAATAATTTTTTGAAAAGGCATTTCAATTGTTTACTTACCTCTGCCAAACCATGCGACTGCAGCAACAGATTAATAAGTTTAGTATCCGTTTGAAAAATTTTGTAGGTCATGTGCAATTTTTTCGCGGGTGGTTCTTCCGGAGGAGTTGCTAACGCGGAGCATCTAAAAAATAATAAACGAACACAGCAATGTTAAAATTATATATCCTGCGACAAACGTTGCATTGCGTTGCAAACGTATATATAGAAAGAAGAAATTTTCCACTTACTTGAAACGCAAAATAGACTTGCTCCCACTTGGTCCACTTAATAGCCATTCGTTGTGTTGCGGACTCGTGTCCTTCGTTGTGCTGCAAAATACATTTCACAAGCTGCATTGCATACGTGCATATTTTAACAAACGTACACTCCGTCCGCGCGCGTGAATTAAAATGCTTGAAACGGCTCGCAAAAAAATTTTGCTCTTGCGACGTAGCGCCATCAAACTTATCAGGCGTCGGTAAAAAAGAAACCATACACGATCTATTTCAAACGTGTTCTAAATCAATGAATTTTCTTTTTTTATATTTTTTTCTATATTATTATTCATTTCGTTGCACAATAAAATACATCAAATCACAGTTTAAACTGAGTTTAATCAAGCTCATACTTTTTCTTACCTTTCCGTCGTTTCCAATTTGTGCGGCTTATGTACAAGAGGTTCCAGGGTCTCCTCGCTGCTGTTTGACAATTGAGACATACCAGAAAGACTGGAAGACGACATCAGTTCCTTCGATCGTTTCCCTTCCAGCTTTCCAGTGGTGTTGGTCTTCATCTGAGACAGCATCATTTATCTGTAACGTTGCAACAACGATCCGTTTCATTTTCAATCGTAAACTCGCGCAGCGTGAAATTTAATAGGAAACTTTCTCGGCGGCGCGTCGGATCTCGTTAATGACATGTAAAAAAAAAAAAGATAACGCGCGTTCGGCGTTGATGAGAGTGCGGTAGCATTAGCGTTCCCGTAGTTTGCGGGGACTCTCATTGTTTCGTGTTACCGTACGTATTGACAGAAACGTCGATAGCTTGTAGTGGAAACGAGACTGCGAGAGCCAACGAAACGAACTTTTACTGGTCTGGCGTATAAGCTCTTAAATTCAATGAGGATGAATAAACGCAGTCTCTGCGTAAATAGTTTATTCTATTTTAATATTTCTCGACGGTTTACCAGAAGCTTTACAAGTTTATCACAAGAAATGAAATCTGTTGCAGAAACATGTGCTTGTTACATTCATCCGCGTAGACGTTGTTTCATGCTTGTTAGCTATAGACAGGCGATCGATTTTTCAGGGTTGCGTTATCGCGCACTTTGCTCTTCTGCCCGCTGGAATGTTAATGGGCAACAAATATAACCGCCTTGACTCTTGCCAGACTTACTTTGTAAGTTTATGTAGGTAATCGGATCAAGGTACGCTACGAAGAAAATTGAAGACGAAGCGACTATTCGACAACGCGACAAGTTATTTGGCAAGTTGGAAAGCCATTCGCGTGATTACAGTCCAGAAATTGTGTTTCAAACGGCGTGTTCGGGGATCACGTCTGATTTTGAATAGCGTCAACGATTGCGTCTCTGAAATCAGAGACCGAATCGGTATACCGGTAAACTACCGGTATTTTTAGATTACTATTCGATTATGTTTGATGAAACCGAAATGGTGCGAATACCGGTATGATGTTATCAAAACGATGTTAGGTCGGTAGATGTATAATTCGGTATAATATCGGTAAATAAAATATTAATACATTAGAAAAGGAAAAGGAGACAATGATTAAATGTTTTCGTAAAGCTGCCGATAGTAAATTTGACGATGCTTATACACGTATCCTTTATTATTTCTAATACTAATTCATCGTTGTATCTCCATACAATATCAGCCACAATACTCTTACTTAATTTTAAAAGATGACCGATTTCTCGATACGTTTTTCCTTTTTCTCGGTGAAAAATGACTAATTACGTCGTACGTCGATAAATCGAAAGAGGAGTTGAAACAACGATTAATCATAGAATGGAAGAATATTCAGCTAAATTACTTAAAAAAAAATTACTGGAAATATGCCTAAGCGTCTGCGATATATTATTGAAGTTAAGGGCTACCTAAAAAAATATTAATTATCGTTTATGTTAACAATTTTTAGGTTCAAATATTGTAGTTCTTCAAATGTCCGAATATTTTTGCCACGCCACATTTCGACGATAGTTCAGTTTATTGTTTGATATTAAGAAAAGTATGTGCAACAAATAAATAAAATTTATGTTACTATAAACTATAACGAATGTTCTATTATATTATTAAAAAATTGATCCAAATTTACTATTATAAACAATCGAAATCCACAACAATATTTCGAATAGCATGATGTCCCAATATTAATAAGAGTCATTGTATGTAGAAAATGAAAAATGTGTTTTCGTCAGTAAAGCGGTATATATATATTTCGGTATATATTTTTACCGTTGTGGACATCAAATACCACTAAAATACGTATGAAAATACCGGTATGACCGTCTTATATCGGTATTAAAACCGATTTCCCAAATAGCAGTTGTATTACGATAATATGGGAGCCTAAATATAATACTTAAATCTCACTATATTTCGGTTTCAATCTCTGAGTATAATACCCAAACCTCAAAATATTTCGGTTTTCAGTCTCTGTCTGAAATGTCGTCGAACTCGATCGAGCTCCCTTTCGCTCTCGAATATAAAATACGTTCCATCGTTTCATCATATATACGGACTCGTTCGTTATTTAACTTTGTTTTTCTTTGAATAACTTTCCACCTCTTTGCTTCTCCTCCTTCTGCCTCTGACGAGTAAGTAGCACTCGTGTATATTGATATGTAAGATGAACGTTCAAAATCACTTCATTATGCGATCGCAATCTTGGGGGAAGTTTGAGAGTCGTTGAACTCGTTTCGAAACCGGTCGCAATCGTGCCAGATAAAAAAGTGTAATTTCTTACGAGATAAAAGTTGAAATTATCCTTGAAACTCTATCTTGGTTTCTTTTCTTTCGCTTTGTTCTCTTTTAATTCAAAATTGAATTACTAACGTTCCATCTTAAAAATCTATATAAATCTATGTGAAGATGTAATGATGCAGCAAGAGAAATGCAGTATACTGTAAAAGAATACGCTATCAAATTTTTTTGAACACACGTTTACTCAATTTATACCATGTATGAAGGTCGTGTCGCCATTACAAACACGCACGTAGATCCTCGTAAATCCTTCCTGAAAAAAAGCTGGAATTATGTCGTTACAATGCCCCTTGCTATTAACCGGAATGAGAAGCAGGTGACAGAGCCGGTGAATGATCGGTGCATGAGTCACTATCGTGATTTTTGTCGTCGGCGTGGAACGCATAATAACGAGAGTTAGCTTCCAAGTTCGTTTATTTCACCTAATTTGGCGAGAATTCATCTACAATGCTGTTCAAAGGTAAACACATTTCGACAAAATTATTATCACTACTAATTTTTTTACTAAATTTATTTTACTTTATTACGCTGATTTGTACACTTTAGGAGAACTGAAATACTTGAAAGTGTCCAAAATCCAAAAATTTGATTTTCAAACAGCAAGGTTTAAAAGAGAGAGAGAGAGAGAGAGAGAGAGAGATAGAAAAAGAAAATATAATACAACACTGAGAAGTATTCGATGAGCGTCGAGTACAACATAAAGTAGCAAAACAATAAGCAAATGTCGTTTCGACGGAGGACAAAACAAAATCGGGGCTCTGGGTCTGACAGATGTCAAAATTCTTAGTCTTTCCGTCTCAAACGCGATAACCCCACCTCGTGAAAGGGAAATTGCCAATAAATAGGGACCAAAAAAGTTAGTCGAGGTTAGAGAAATTATTCTTAGACGGCCTATCAAGAGACAATGTGAGACAACATACGCGCGCGTACCGATGCCAGAAATGGAAACGCAACGAGAATGGACGAGCTTGCAATTACTCCAGAGCCCATTAGGAAGCGTGCCAGGATTGGTAACAAGTGCGACGCGCAGACCGTGGTCCCGACATCCGGCTTCTCGATCGCGAGGATCGAGTCCTTACCAGTCGAGATCATCTTCGAAATATTCTCCTATCTTTCCTGCAAGGATCTTTACGCTGTCAGTCACGTGTCCACGCTCTTCAATCGACTCGCTTACGACCCGTTTCTATGGCGAACTTACGAGGTACGGATAATCGACGACCTTGATGCTTTCTTAACGCACTGTGGACGAGGGAGACGAGAATTCACGTCCTTCAGTTTTCAACTGTTGGGGAACGGGGAACGCTATTTTACGTTGTAGGACACGACCCAGGCAACGTTACATATAATTTATATTATATAACATATAATTACATATTATAATGTTATATAATTTTTCAAGGAGTAGGGAAATTGTTTCCTAACGACGCCAAGAAACGTTACTTAGAGGTATTCTCATTTTATTTTAATAAAATACGTTTGAAATGAAAAATAATTAATAATTTTAATTATTAGTAAAATAATACACTTGTTAAATGCTATACATTCTCTGGAACTCTTTCAATCGCATGTTAAATAGTTCAAAAAATACGAGAAAATACAGACATGTTCATCAAAGCATACCAACGACATGTATCTAGGAACCATCACTCTGATACTATGATAACGAACTGAGCAGCCTAACTGTAAAAATCAGCAAAAGTACACCAACAAGTATATAATATAATCTATGCACGAAGAACTGAGCAGCCTAACCATAAAAACAAGTAAAAGTTTCGAGACGATTTTAATCTCTTTTCATGCGAGAAAATTAGTAAAAATTGCAAGTAACAACGAAGCAGTGAAAGTATAGAAACACATAGCATTGCGAAGTATCGTTTAATATTGGAACAAATGCATTTCAGATCAATAAAAGGATCGAGCGTGGCAATGCTTCATTGCGCTGTTTGAAGGTTAAAAGTCGAGGAGAAGCGTCCCGATCCGATCGATTCTCCCATTCTTTATTCTCGGATTTCTATCTTTGTGCCGTAGGTGACGAACAACGAACAGGACACGGCGGAAGTGGTCAAAGAGCTGAAGAGGATGCCGCTGCTGAAGAAGTTCAGCATAAGCGTCCGGGCGGATTGCGACGAGATCCTGCGGCAACTCTCGCTGACGAACAAAAAACTGGAGGAACTGCACGTTTCTAATTGCACAGGTTCTATTCGTCGTCGTCAGCTTTTCTCCTCTCTCCATAATTAAGCTTCTTTCTCCTCACTTCGGTGCTACGCGGATCGGTATTGACAAAGCCAGGAGGAGAGAGAGAGAGAGAGAGAAGAGAGAAACCTTTGGCTCGAGTTCAAAAAACTCTGCTCGAGTGAATTCTTTTTATCTCGTTTTTCTCTCTTTTTACTCGGTCTATCTCCTCTTTCTGTCGTTCTAAAAAAAAAGAAAAAAAAAACACAAAAAGACGCCGGGGATGATAAAGGAGAAAGACACGGACGATAAAATGGAATCACAGAGAAAGGGAAAATAGTTTGGCCACGTGGCCAAGCAAGAAACGGGACGACGCGTAGCTCTCTGTAGTTACTATTTCGTAATGGCAGCTTTCTTCTGCGAACGCTCGCTTTCGTCTACTTCCTGTCGTGCATTTCGTTACCCCTTTTTCTTCTTGCGTTGACGATGTTGCCGCACAAAGTGGGGAGGCGGGAGGAGGTAAAAAAATTTCAAATCGATCCGCGGGGTGTTCGCATATGATTCACGAGTAGGATGCGCCGTTTGACCTGGCAACCGTGTTTACCGCAATTAGTATTCTAAACACGTTCCATTGCATTCGCCTGCACTGCAGAGAAGATAAACGGAAGAAGATTATTTGGATCGCACACTCTCTTTATTTCCCTCCATCGAAGCGAGTTAAATTGATCAACTGATATGATTGGAATAATTTCATACGAACGTAATCATTCACCGAGGATCTGCGCGCGAATTCTTCTTGCCTGTGAAACGGTGTGAAAATGCAACGTGCGGTTTTTTTTTTTTTTTTTCATAATCAATCTCTTTCAACGACGTTCCATCAACCACTGCGCTGCTGGTATTTTAGTCAATATATCGCGACGATAAATTTCCAAGCAACAACGTAAACGCCACGCGTATTTGCATTCTATTCGAACGGTACGCGACGTCGGGTGCAAAAATACAACCAGTTTGTTTTGCATACATCTCCATACCGAAGTACGAACAAATATTTTTCCCCCCCGGGGAGAATGAATGGAAGAAATACAGGATCTGTAGTGTCGTGTTTGACGTGTTTAGAAAGTCAAAGTTTTTCATCGCGCAAAGTAACAGAAAATAAAAATTAATATAGAGAATTGTGAAGTGTTACGATGATGTATATGTATATCATTATAATATAGGAGACGATTTTTATAATGTCATTATTAAATGATATTACAATGATATTTTAATAATGTCATTATTATATATGAGCCATTTATTTTGATGGTCCAAGTCCATTTATCTTCAAATCATGATATTTTGCGTTTTGATAAATTTAAAAATATTGATTAAACTGATACTATGGTGTAATGTTTTTGTGTTTCTAAGGGTATATAATTTACCAATTCAATTAGTAACGTAAATATAGTTTAGAAAATAACACGTTTTTGATGGACTTAGGCTACTTTCAAAATTAATGAAGTAACTCTTTTAATTTTTAAAAAGGTACAAGTTCCTTGAAAAAAAATAAAAAAAAAATATTACAATGTTGTGTTATAAAATTAAAAAATATCCAATTTTTATTCACTATTAAAGAAATGTTACATTCAAATAATATTTTGTAATTTATAATTCATTCTTCTCCAATTTGCGTATATGGGGGAGATTTAAATAATTATGGTCTTCAGATGGTATATAATCCAGTGTAATCCAGTGTTTTAGTGTTGCGATTGGTCTTACATCTTTGTACAGTGATGTCAATTCAATATTATTAAAGTTTCTTGGTCTCACCCGACGCGGTAGTAAATCTAGTTTTGAATAGCGCATCGTTATTCATTAATGTTTCATAGAACACTTTATATGATTCTGTTCCCGAAACTCTCATCCAACATAATTTTAACTAATATATCCTTTCCCCATTAGTATTTTTTTAACCTTCTGAAAACCACGTCCTCTAGAGATTTAGTTGAAACGAAATCCTCTATACTTAACAAAATTATTATTATTTAAAAAATTACTATTCGAGCTAATCGAACACTGCTACTTTAATAATAAAAAGATATAGCTTCTCATAAAATTTCACTGTATAATATACTTCATATCAATTTGAAACGACTTAAGCCACTTTCAAAACAAAAATCCTTATCGTTCCATTAACTAGCTAATTTTCCGTGTACAAACGTTTAGTTGCAATTTGTTTAAAAATGAAAAGGATACCGTAGATACGTAAATATTAAAATAGTTAGCTTGACTTAGAAACACTTTCAAAATAAACGGCTCATATATGTATATAATTTTTCTCCCCCGCAGGTTCCACGTCGAAATTGTACTTACGCTCGGGTTATCTGATCCGCATACTGGAGAGATGCCGTAATTTGCACACGATCAATATACTGGGGAGCAGATTCCGCGGCCGGAAGTTCTATCGACTGCTGGGCGGCATGGGACCGCGGCTGAGATCCGTCTCCGCGCCAGCCACAAAATCCCAATTCTGCACGTTCATCAAGTACGCGAGGCAAATCAGCGAGACCGATCGCGAGACGATCTGCTCGATGTACAACAGCGCGAAAAGTTGGTCGCCCTTGTACTACTTTGTCACAAAACGGGCGGACTGCGTTTGCACGGCCCTGATCAGCTACCTTCACAACGACATACTGCTGATCGACACGAACCGATCGATTCATAAACTATCCATCACCGACCGAAGGAACGCCTAACTTGACCGGCGAGAAGAATTTCAGATCGAATCTATTGAATTCTGTGCGTTTTCGACGATTCGTACGTTCGAGGGAACGTGGGAGAACATTCACGATATTTGCTATACTCGCTCAGGAATGAAATACATGTCATGTGCTGTTATATCGTCCCAATATATACGTGCGCCTTTGTAGTCGTATTTTTTTATTTTAATCGTTCTTACGATCTAGGCTCCCAGACGTAATCTCAGAGCGATCTATGTGGGTCGATTCACGTGTACAAATGCCAGCCGACACGAGAGCAAGCTCCCGCGAGCTTTAAACGGGCAAATTAACCACTTGCGCTGGCAACTGATTGCGGACCATAACGAGTGACCAAATCGTACACAATAATTCGTCGCTTTCTCATTGAACTCGCCGGTATGACATCATTAAATAGAAATTATTGATAAGTAATAAATTTATTATTTGTTTCGCCTGGGTTATACTTAAATATATTTAAGACTGAGAAAATATTGCAATTTTGGGACAAAAAATTCTCGACGTGCGTGGCACGTCATTCCAGCGCAAGAAGTTAATTCTTCTTTAACCACTTGTGCTGGCAACTGATTGCGGACTATAACGAGTGACCCGAACCGTATACAATAATTCGTCGCCATATTGAACTCGTCGGTATGACATCACTCGATAGAAATTATTGATAAGTAATAAATTTATTATTTGTTTCGCCTGGGTTATACTTAAATATATTTAAGACTGAGAAAATATTGCAATTTTGGAACAAAAAATTTTCGACGTGCGTGGCATGTCATTCCAGTGCAAGAGGTTAAGTCTTCTTTAACCACTTGTGCTGGCAACTGATTGCGGACTATAACGAGTGACCCGAACCGTATACAATAATTCGTCGCCATATTGAACTCGTCGGTATGACATCACTGGATAGAAATTATTGAGAAGCAATAAATTTATTATTTGTTTCGCCTAGGTTATACTTAAATATATTTAAGTATAATATATTAAGTACACAATAATTCGTCGCTTTCTCTTTGAACTCGTCGATATAACATCGCTGGATAGAAATTATTGAGAAGCAATAAATTTATTATTTCTTTTGCCTGGGTTATACTAAATATATTTAAGACTGAAAAAATATTGCAATTTTGGGACAAAAAATTCTCGACGTGCGCGTCACGTCATTCCAGCGCAAGAGGCTAAATGGAAAACTCTGGGGCGTTAATACGAGGCTAATGAGTCCTGAATGACGGGTCAGACGTTTCGTCAATAATCGGCTTGATTGAAATCAATTACAGCTCGTGGTTAAGTGTAGCACGAAAATGGGATTTTTTTTGCAAGGAGAAATGCTTTCTTTGTGCTGCTTCTCTTGGAAACAAAGAGCTCGTTGCTTATAAATCTCGAGCAATCGAATAGCCGGCTGCCGAGTGATTTCCGAGAGCTCGCCGGCGCGAAAGGAAAAATAATCCTTGTTACGTTCATCGTTCACCGCGTTTATTCAATTAAAAGCGGCGAAATTGTTAACGGTGCAAGAAACTCGATTAATGGCAGTCGTTCGTCTCCGTTTTCGAGACGGGCAATTAAAGTCAAAGTTTCGCGAAATTCGCAAGACACGCGAGGCACGCGATCTCTCTCTCTCTCTCTCTCTCGAATCGATTTTCATTACGCAAACGGCGTAACAAGTTCCGCTAAAATGTTGGCGATCTTCGTTCGTCGACCCGGACACTTCCTGTTCCGTATAATCATTTGCATAGAGCTGGCATAGCATGTCCGCTAATAGTCACGGTTTATCGAATGACGAGTGTTGGCGCGCGTTGTTCCACAAATAATATTTCACAGGTAATCTGCGGATGTTCCGTGTGCACGAGAAACAGGCGGGTCCTACGCGATACTAGCAATAGCATAGTAATGACCGTAAATGTCGACTTCCGTTTATTAACAACGACCACCCAATATGTTTTCAGAAATAGAACTCGCAAACACAAGCGGCCCGAACATCCCGTTGTTACATACGTACATACGTGATATCTTTTCTCTCGATCGGCGAGGTTCTCTGGAAATTTTATCGGTCAACGATACCTACTATTTCTGATTGTGAGTCAAGGTTAACTTTCTGCCTCGCTTTCCTAATTTCCAATGAACAAAAGCCTGCTGGCACGACAAGTCGTAACATTATAGTGAATTGATAAACTGCAAATTGTAGGTTATAGACGACTGTTGCCCGATTTGAACTTGTAAAACTTTGCTTGTTCTGTTGCCTTTGCAATAAACAGATACAGAGGAAAGAGGTCATTATTTTTTCAAAGAATTAAAACTAGCCTTTTGCACTCGACTGTCCCCTGTAAGTAGGACATTGCACTTAAATTTAGCTATCATGAAATTGTTTATAATTGCTGATAATTATAATGAACGTAGGAACAATATTGTACGACGTGGCATAATATGACATAAGAGGAATAATAAAATTTCGAGAAAAGAAATTCTTGTGGATAGAGGCGGTCGCAAGTCAGTTAACCAATCATCAAGTTATTATTCGAATATTAAAGTTATTGTTATTCTCGCGAAAATTCAGATGTATTCTCGCTTTATCCAGAAAAAGTCGGATTGACTGAGCTAATTGTAAGTAAACTGCGGCCAACACTTAACCCGCAGTAACTTCCTCAGTGTACACAAAACAAAGACGCATCGATTGGACTAGTTTTCGATTTCCGGCATGCGGGCGAGAACATTCAAACGGCACGCGTATTGTTCGCCGATCAGGAAGCGATTTCGTTCGTTCGAAACGCGTATGACTTTCCTTGGCTTTCCTCCTTGGCTGTTCACGCAACTACGCACGCATCGAAATCATCAACGAGCCAACGATCAATTATAGGCAAACGACTTTACGTAAGTGAAGAGACAGAGGAAAATATCGAGCAACCGGAACTAATGTCGAAACTTGGAAAAAATTATCACGAGATAATCTTGCTGAATTTTAATTTTAATTCTTTGCCCCCGACAAACTCTGTTTTGTATCGTCCACCAGCAATTTATTTACGAAGCATCATCACTTTCAAATAAAATGATGTAGCATTGGAAATAATCGTTCGAATGGTATTTGAACACGAAATTTTGTTGATTGTATCTTTCTAACGTGTGATAAGTTTGCTACAAATATAATATACAAGAGTTAATGATATCCTTTGTCATTTTTCGAACTTTAAGAAACACTAAGAAGTCTAGTTTTAGCATGTGAATTATTCAACTGGCTAAGGATTGTCTTCAGAAATTTCTTTTTTTGAAATTCTTTTGTTCTTCTTACGTCGTTATAGCTTTCACTCTAGGCGTCCGTCCAGATATTATACTATTATATCGCATGGTAATGTACACGTTCATTATAATTATCAGCAAATTACAAAAAGAGGAAGTCTGAGCTATTAGCTAGACTTAAGTACAATGTCGAGTGCAAAAGGTTCAAAAACTACTATCTGCCGCCTAATTATGAATTATTACGTACATCGCAGTAAATTATACCACAATTTTTAACCTAACCTTTCTGTATATCTGTCACAACCTTGAGGTTATTTATTATTGTACATACTATACTTTCGATAGTCTGTCTCTCCTTGCGATATAGCAAATTCGCCTGTACCCCGTATCTCCCGTTAGCCTTTTGCGCTAAAATGACGTGTCACGCGCGTCGAGAACTTTTTGTCCCAAATTACAACATTTTCTCAGTTTTAAGTATATTCAAATGTAACCCAGGCAAAACAAATGATAATTTATCACTTCGTAACAACATTTCTATCCAGTGATGTCACCGAGTACAGAAGAAAAAGAAAGCGACGAATTATTTGTATACGGTTCGGGTCACTCGTTATAGTCCGCAATCAGTTGCCAGCACAAGTGGTTAAAGAAGAATTAACTTCTTGCGCTGGAATGACGTGCCACGCACGTCGAGAATTTTTTGTTCCAAAATTGCAATATTTTCTCAGTCTTAAATATATTTAAGTATAACCCAGGCGAAACAAATAATAAATTTATTACTTATCAATAATTTCTATCGAGTGATGTCATACCGACGAGTTCAATATGGCGACGAATTACGATTTGGTCACTCGTTATGGTCCGCAATCAGTTGTCAGCGCAAGTGGTTAAAGAAGAATTAACTTCTTGCGCTGGAATGACGTGCCACGCACGTCGAGAATTTTTTGTCCCAAAGTTGCAATATTTTCTCAGTCTTAAATATATTTATAAGTATAACCCAGGCGAAACAAATAATAAATTTATTACTTATTAATAATTTCTATCCAGTGATATCATACCGACGTGTTGAAAAAAAAAGCGACGAATTATTGTGTACGGTTCGGTCACTCGTTATGGTCCGCAAACCAATTGCCAGCGCTTCTGTGGTTAACCTCTTGCGCCAAAATAACGTGCCACGCGCGTCGAGGACTTTTTGTCCTAGACTGCGACATTTTCTCAGTTTTAAGTATATTCAAATGTAATCCAGACAAAACAAATGATAAGTTCATCACTTCGTAGCAACATTTCTATCCAATGACGTCACACCGACCGAGTACAAAAGAAAAAGAAAGCGACGAATTATTTGTTATACGGTTCGGGTCACTCGTTATGGTCCGCGAACCAGTTGCCAGCGCAGGGGATTGATCCTCCGGTTGAGCCTTCTCCTGTTCGAAGGTCCTCGCGCTCCAATAAATTCGGATCGACCAAGATCCCGACCGACAAACTCCCGCGAGCAAAGTAAGTAAGGAAAGGAAGCGTAGATCGAGCGTGGCGCACTTTCAACGGGGGTCATCGGATCGATGAAGGCGTGACCCAAAAATTCACGGCCCCGGAGGATAAATTGGGTAAACACGTGTTTAAACGTTGAACGAATGACGCAATTAGCGAGCAACGGGTGAGCAATTAAGTTTGCGAGAAGGAGGTGCAAGCCCGCGCGTTTTGCTCGGTAATGAACGCGATAATAAAACGCGAGGGGAGACGCACTCGTTGGAAGTACGAGTCGAGTATGAATGCGGCAAGTTCAGCTTCTGTTTGACGTTGTTTTTCCTGTTCTACATCCGAACTAACTAAGGCAAACAAGCTTTTACACATTTTTTTGAGGGAGGGGCATGATGTTTCGGTCTTGTCATTTGCTCGGTCTGCAGTGAGCGCTTTGAGAGCTCAGGGGACAGAGGGTTCGATCGAAGAAAACGCGAGCCACGTTGAGGTACAGTAACGAGCACTTGAATCAACTCTTTGCTGGCGCGCCTACGTCTCGAAATAACTTTCGACTGCCGGAATATTGGCGTACGTACACTTTTAAA